TCACGCAAGCGCGGGGCCTGCCGGGAGCGCCGCTCGCGCCGGCGGGGACGATGGGCGCTAGGCCCGGCACGAGGGTCACGTGGGTGGCCGCGCGTGGCGGTTGGGAGCCGGTTCCGCTCTGACGTGTTGCCTGATGGAGGAGGTTCTATTTCCCCCCTCCCCTTCCGTCCGGCAGAAGGGGAGGTGGCCGCCATATTTCCGGCCGTCACGTGACCACCGAGGCTGCCACTCGGCTCTTACGTCACGGGGTCTGCAGTCGGCAGACCCTCCCTCTCTCGGCTGCTATGGAGACGCCCCACTTCCGCAGCTCTTTGACAGAGCATCTGGCGCGCTCCCCCTCCCTACCTCGCTGATTGGTTGCCGTTTCTGGACGTTATAAAGGCCGCAGCGGCAGCGAAGCAGGCATGCTTCTACAGCCCAGCCCTGCCTGGGCATGGATGGGGAGAGGGGGGATTGCAGGCCCTGCGGAGAGCAACTGCCTTGCTTGGGAAGCAGAGGGAGGGCTGTGGAGACGCGGGAGACGCCCTCGCAGCTGTCTCTTGCTTCCTCTTTTTTTCCATTTGGCGGGGGAGATCCAGCTGCTCTGTGTTGCAAGGGGGCTGCTCCAGGGGTGGAGTCCCAGCTCCCTGTCTTGCTTCTGATTTCTTGTGACCTTGTGGGGGAAAATGGCAGTTTCTCTTCGCTTCTGCCCTTCTTGCCTCAGATGGGGATAAAAGCCATTGAGGAGCCCCCAGGGCATTGGCAAGATAAACTAGGTCAAGGTGGAGGGGAGAGAGGAAGTTAGTCCCCTGTTAGTCTGAAGTCAGGCAGAAGATGGAGGAGTTCACATACTGATTGCTGTGAGGTGAATGTTGGGGGTCAAGTGTCTCGTGCATTAAAGCAGGGGTTCTTAACCTCTTTTGTATGGGAACCTATTTGTAAATATAGATGGACAGTCTCCCTTACTCCTGACCTGTTGCCACTCAGCCCCAGCCCCCATGTGGGGGGGGGTCCAGGGGGGCCCAAGCAGCCCCAAACTTCCCTTGCAGGCTGGAACTAGGTCAGCCTGAAAGAGAGAAGCTATGTTTTCCCATGTTTTTCTCCTTTAAGGGAGAATCCCTCTTTAAAGTTTGTTTGTGACCTTGGATATTCTTCTGGGTCATGATCCCCAGGTTAAGAAACACTGCATTAAAGGTTTCCAGTATTTGAACTAACCCACCTCAGCTTCCTTCTAAAGAACTTTAAACTTTGAAATGTCTTCACCCCTAGATTCTGGGGTTTTGGGCTTGATTGCAGCATTGTACTAGTTTTAGCGTCTGCTTTGGTAAGTCCTGATTTTTGTTTTTCCTGTGTTTTAGTAGGGGAAAAATAAATCTGAACTCTTTTAATTAATTTTTTGAGAGAGGACCCCAGCTGCTATCATTGGACTACTTAAATATCCTTTTTTGGTGAGGCAAATCGAAGCATTAATATTTGTATGGTGGTCCCCTAATGCAAATACTTACCTTTATAAAATTAGACTATCAGTAGCTTCATTTTATATATTTACTTTACTTTGTGTAACAATCTGACTTTGCCTATTTTACCCTTTCAGAAGTGATTTGTAAAAGTAGTTTGTGGTGGTCAATGGAGGCGTGCTTTGAGAAATAATTGGGTAAGGCCACTCAAACTTGGGAATCCTCATTTCTTTGGTATTGCAGTATGAATATGGAACCTGGTCTGAACTTACAGTATTTTCTGCATGCCAGCTTTCCTTATGGTCAAAACAATAACACTTTTTTTTTTTTCTTTTTTGGCAGGTACAACATGCAAGTAAACAAATTGCTGTTGATAAACAGTACAAAGGCATCATTGATTGCGTAGTGCGTATCCCAAAAGAGCAAGGAATGCTGTCCTTCTGGCGTGGAAATTTTGCAAATGTCATCAGATATTTCCCCACTCAGGCCCTCAACTTTGCCTTCAAGGATAAGTATAAGCAGGTGTTCCTAGGTGGAGTAGACAAGCACACTCAGTTCTGGAGGTATTTTGCTGGTAATCTGGCCTCCGGTGGTGCAGCTGGTGCCACTTCTCTCTGCTTTGTCTACCCATTGGATTTTGCAAGAACCCGTTTAGCTGCTGATGTTGGAAAAGCTGGTGCCGACAGAGAATTTGCTGGCCTTGGAGACTGTCTAGTCAAAATCACCAAGTCTGATGGTCTGCGTGGCTTATATCAAGGGTTCAATGTCTCAGTACAGGGTATCATCATCTATAGAGCGGCTTACTTTGGGATCTATGATACAGCAAAAGGTAAATTTATAAAGGAACTGTAGGTTATATTATCAGTCTTAATGATGACATTCCCTGACTTTGAGTGCCTGCTCACAGTTTTAATATAATGAGCTAAGTGGCTGTTTGAAATACTTCTGCTGCTATTTGTCTGAACTGCTGAAACCAATATTTTTCTGATAGACCTGCTAAAAGCTTCAGAGAAGTATTGAAGTAGTAATGAATAATGCTGACTTTGCATCCTGCATTTTCACAAGGGTCTAGCAACTTTATGGTGTTAGGGTTTGCAAAATTTAAGAGCTGCTTCTAGCAGAAGCAAAACATTCCCTTCCCCCACTTCTAAATGGGTTTAAACAATTTTAGGGAACTTGATTCAATTGACCCTAGTAATTAACATGTTATAGTTAGTTACATTCACATCATAAAGTCTCCTGTTGACCTAATTTGGTAGTTAAATAGCTGCATTTGAAGAATGGAATATTCTCCTTCATCAACTTGCAAATAGTTTCAAAGATATTAGAATTGAGGCATTTTCAAATCTGGGACAATTGACTTTTGAGGAGACATTTCTGATGGATAATTTTATCTCTGGACTTTGTGCCTTTAATCTGAACTACTGACACAGAATATTCTTCACTGTTGTAAAGCAATCTGAGTGCAGTTCTGTTGTTGCACTTTATGCATGTCTAACATTTTCACAGATGAGTTGCTTTACCTCTTTGTTTTGATTCTAGTTGATGAAGATGCCATTACTGTTGCTGTTCTTAGGAAAGCACCTGTTTAATGTTTTATGAGTGGGTGTAAGACAAGAATTTATATTGTGGCATCTTAATTGCAGGAATGCTCCCGGATCCCAGGAACACTCACATTGTGATAAGCTGGATGATTGCACAAACGGTGACTGCCGTGGCTGGTGTTGTCTCCTATCCTTTCGATACGGTGCGACGTCGAATGATGATGCAGTCGGGGCGTAAAGGAGGTAAACTTCAGTTTTCCCCTGTAATCTGAAATTATTTTGCTGTCTGCTATATAAATCTAATATATTACCAAAATGACATTTGGCTATTGTGTTTTTACTTGGCTTCACATCTGCTAAAAATATCAATAGCCAAGACAGCTGAACTCAAAAGGGGAGGATTCTTTAGTCTGTAAAGGGAGTGGGGTCACGATGGATTTAAGTATCTCAAAAGAGCAGGTGGGAAATCAGACTGTTTTTAGGGGGGCTTTTGCATGTCTTTTGCATTTACATCAATGTGTTCTGCTTAAACAGAAAACAACTTTATGGTGCATGAAACCAAGTATAAGGGTTGTTCCAGCCCCAAGTTATGTAAATTGCAAACAAATAAAATACTTTGTTTTTCTACAGCTGACATCATGTACAAAGGAACAATTGATTGTTGGAAGAAGATTGCACGGGACGAGG